CAACTGAATGCGCGACTGCAGGAGGGACCAGACTATGGGACATCTCCTGGAATCGCCTTATTACCAGAGCCTGTAGCCATGGAGAATGTTGAGTCTTTCAACCACCGTGTCAGTCTGCTGTTGCTGCCAGTGGCTAGGACGAGTGTAGTGTAGTCCGAGAAGAAGAAGAATATACGGTAACGTTGAATCGTCTTGTGATTTTTCAGCTGAAGCGTAACGTACATAACGTGCACTTCCACATCACCACTACACTAAGATTATTGAGCAGCTGCGAGCAGAGGTCACAGAGCTAAAGAGCAAACTCACGGCTTGTGAGGAGTGCGGCCCTCGACAGTAGATGGCGCCACCTGTGACAGAGGGAAACACCGTCGCAGGCAGTCGAGGAGATTAAGAGGTACAATGAAAGAACTGTATATATATGTATATATGATATTTATCAGTGTTGTAGGTCTCGAGACAGTCTTGGTCACGAGACCGGGTCTCGAGACCGTTTTCCTTGTCTCGGTCTCGGTCTCGGTCTCGGCCTCGCGAGTGCAATGACTCGGACTCGGGCTCGGACTCGAGCCTCCGGAACTCGAGGACTGCGGGTCGAGACCGTCTCGAGGCCACTACATACATAGTGAGCAGGAGTCATAGATCGGTTTGTCGCGGCTTTAAATCGCACGGGGCCGAGTTCACGCGCATCATTCGTATTCAACCACGGCCCATAGAATAATGTACACAGGCGCGCGGTTAATCAATCGTCTACTGCGGCTGGCAGCAAGTGAATTATAAGTCAGAAAGGTGTAAAATGATGTCATGAACCTATGTGCGCAGTACTAGTAGGTACTACTAGTATGACCTTCTACCACTTCGAAGTGTAGTAGGTACTAGGTAGTAGGTACTAAGTCTCACTGCCTCTGTTCCTCTCGGCTACCAGTTGTTCAGCCGTTACATCATCTCACAAACAATGGATCTCTCGTTAGCTCTTGAACACGTTTCGCTATGTATGAGCTCGTTTTCTCTGCTGTTTTCGGGCTGACTATACACTTCGAATGTCTACGATGCACGGTTGTGCTTTTTCCCAGATCAATCTCATAAGCCAAGTCGGATGATTGCCACTAATCTACATTCTACATACAATAGAAATGTTCGTAGCGTACAAATGCATAATGCACAATTTTTATTTAATTTATTTTATTTTCCAACACGTTATTTTCCTAAGTCGACACAAATATGCTGGTCCCAAAAGTGTCGATTATGCAAGTTTTTATGGGTACTTTCTATTTATGCAAACAAGTGACAGATCCAGGGACAGGAAACACCCCCCCCCCATTTTTGAACAAACACATACATAGAAGTGAATGGGCCTTGTCAGTCTGTGCCCCCCTTTTTTTTTATCAAAACTGGACTCGGACTCGACTCGCGGTGGTGTGCACTCGGACTCGGGTGGCGCGGACTCGGACTCGGACTCGCGGGGGTGCGGACTCGACTCGGACTCGGACTCGGGGGGTGCGCGACTCGACTACAACACTGATATTTATATATGTATATATATATATACAGGGGTAGAAATTTACTTTTTAACACGCGGAGTCCAACGGACTCGCCTACCATCAAAAAGAGGGAGTCCGCAGCCAAAATGAGGGAGTCCGCAGTCTGAGGTTCAAAATTAAAGATAACGCATGTGCTTATTTTTAAGATTTATGCGGTTGCATATCTGCCAAATTTTCTTTGGACATTAGCTGAAAAAATACGGTAATTCCACGAGGTTAGTTAGTATGGCAGAATTTTCAGGGAGTCACACGGATTCCTGCATATGTTAAATCAGGGAGTATTTGACTCTGGACTTCTGCTAATTTTGCACCCTGTATATATATATATATATATATATATATTTCCAGGGGCTCAGTCTACGTGCCTGTGGTAAAATAATGAAACTATGATATCGGCTAGACTATCACTGTAGTTAATAGTCATCAACCTCTACACAATAATTTATTCTTGTTCATAGATCTATGTTTGTAACAACATGTTTTACTTTGTTAACAAGATTCATAATGAGCAAAACTATAATGAGTATGGCTATTCTTGTAGGTGTTTAACACTTTTTTTTGGTGTTTGATAACAGGTTATTAGTTTCAGGTTCTGTAGTACTGTTGTACTGTGAGATTTTACTTGGTCATGTTGGGAATATACCTGCTTGTTCGGCATGGATGTTTTTCACGACTGATAGGTTGTTTGACTTGTGTCTGTGATTAGTTATATTCGGTATACATTTACAGGTTGCAAGGCATTCTGGCTAGTGTGTTTACTGATCGTATCAAGCTCAGGAAGCAACTGCTGGACTGTGAGAGTGTAGATAGAGACCTGCAGTACCGATTGCACAAGAGAAAGACGCAACTGCACAGATATTCGTTAATTGCTACTTCGCCTAACAAAATCACCCAGGTGGGTATCGTTTGTCTAGGCTGCGCTCAATAGAACGTAGCTAGTAATGCGTTTAAGAGGCATTAGTTATCACTTCAAGTTACTCAGTTACTTCACTAGTCTATATCTGTGTTTCACAGTTGGTATATTCAGCAAATTCTCCATATATGCTTTGCCTCACGTCTTGTGATTCTAGATGAATTTCAATAATCGATTACTATGGATGTTGTGCAGTAGTAACTATACTTATCACAACCTGTTTAGCAACAAGAATGTATCCTAATGTGACTGCATGATGTAAAATCTTCCATGATGTAGTTCGTGGCCCATGATGCCTTGGCGTTGTAACTTTTCAGCTCAACGAAAAGCTCGCGCTGTTTGAAGATGTGACTGCAGCGAAGAGACAGAAGCTCTCAGCAGTGATGGACGAATCGACGAGAGCGCTAGGGGAGAACGGAGAATGGCTGGCGCGCGTGGAACAGGAGCTAACCCAGATCAATGATGATGGGGAAATACCAGAGGTATGTATGGTCATTGATGGGGCAACCAATAGAAATCAGGATGGAATTCGTCTCAGATGTGGAAGTTTGAATATCACGAGTCTGCTGGTTGCACCCACTGTGCAGAAGTTACTCTGTGCAGTATTAGATGTAGCGACCAATATTAACTGCAAGCGTCGATAGGTTTATTTCATGCATTTTCATTGTGAGTGCATTCTGACTAATATTCTTGGAATGATCACCTATACATATGCATGAAGTTCATTTCTTTGAAACTCCATGCTGGTTATTCTGGCAACAGTGTTCTGATGGTTTGTTTTTTCTCAGGTACTGGATCGCGGCCTGCGTGCGAGGCAGCTGGAACTAGAGTTGAGGGATTCACGTCAGAGCGTCCGATTCCTCAAGCGTTTCATCAAGGCACGAGAGCGTGAGTCGCAGCAGCAGGAAAGGTGAGGTCGTGTGAGACAGCCCTGTAAACCAATCCCACACTACGCCTGCATGCTCGATAATGCTTGCAGTCAGCTTCTAGATTTCGGCTACTAAACACAGGCTCACCACGCTATGTTGACAAAGCCTTACCTTGGAAAATGTGGTGTACCTTCCCTCGGTGTTTGTTACTTTGCAGATGGACAGTGTGTAATTGTCATGTGTGCAAACGATCATTACAGTCTTAGATAGTGATGAAGCTAGGCACTGTGAAGCCTAAATAAATGTAGTATATATATATTTACAGCAAGTGCACACGTAACTTCATAAGATTAAGCAAATATTTTATTTTTTGCTTAGGCTTGTGGCTTCACTGCTTGGCTACACGAAGCACCAGTTCATGATCCTTAAAGGAAACGGCCTTGTGGCATCAGATCTTGAGATGACATTTGAGAGAATCCAGGAAGAGGTGGTGTCAAGTCAGCAGATTGCTTGGGCTGACCAGCCTTGCAAAACTACAGACGATGGCTCCATACTGGATATCGCCTCGTTGATTGACCTGCCTCTAGTTCCCAGTTCTTCACTCCACACTCCAAAATGTGAGTGTTTGAGTAACGATTGCACACAATTTGAAGAATAGCTGTGTATGCTGTACGGCATGTAAATTCTGCGTCATAGAGCAGTTGAGGTTCGAAAGTAATTTTTAATTGCCAGTTGTACTAAAATTGTACACGAGTTGTACCAAATATATGTGCCTCTAATACTATGATCTTAACTATTTTAGTAAAGTATTTGACAAATTCATAAGCCAACGTCATTCTGAAGGCTGTTTTTAAATGTTCATTTTACGTTTATATTTTTAAGCATGTCATTAGCTCATTAACTTATAATATTGACAGTCAGCTTTAGCCAATTATTGTTGCAATAGGATGTTCTAAATATAACGCTTAGCAGTTAAGTGCCTCAACGTTGACATTCTGGCGTGTATGTGTGTAGAACGTGTACAGACTCATAGCAGCTTGCCCGACGTAGCTGTGGTAAGGAAGAGAGCACGGTTATCTTTCGACACAGACGGACAGGTCACGTGGCTTTGTGCGATGAGTTCATGTTATGTCTCGTTACAGCGAGGCAGTCGTCAACGAGGAGGCGCGTTACCGTGGCTCCGACGCCACCAGGTGGCAGTCCTGTGGTGGCAGCGATCAATACACAGCAGACGCACGACTCTGCGTTAACTCTGAGCGATCGGGGCGATGTGGCGACTCCTGGTGCCGCGGAGCTGAATGTTAACTCGCACGAGGGAGCCACGTGTCGAGCAGGTTTGTGAACATAATCACAATTAAGTTCTCTGCGCTGTGAGAACAGAACGTCAGCGAAGCTAGGGAAGCAGAATCTTGTAAACGTGTGTGAATAGTTTGCAGGTTGAATGCGTGTATAATACTTGATTAGACTGATCAAGGTGTTTGTCTTACCCAATGGCATTGCATTGATCGGTCTTACCAACGAAGTGTTGCTTAGTTTAAAACCGTTCTGGTTTCAGGTATAACCCCAGTGGCACATGGACAAACTGATGCGTCGCACACATCACATGCGCATACAGGCTGCCCGCCCGCACAGCAGACGACTGCAGCACCATATATCCACATTCCCGCCGCAGGCGACGACGACTCATCTACGATTACGACAAAGCCGGCGGTGAAGCCATCACCGAACCTCCACACTCCGAGGCGCATCAAACTGGAGGACGCGTCGCACAGTGATGCGTTCACTCCGCGCAAACTCACTATCTACGGTTCCCAGAACAAGGACAAATGGCAGCCGAGTCCTGCTCTAGGAACCCCACGGAGGGTGCCATTACTACGGGAGCAGACAGCAGCTGTTGCCGTGTGTGTGAGTGCGGACAGACCTGATGAGGCAGCAGCAGCTTGCGGGCAGCGAATAGTCGTCTCTGATAGATCAACGCTGTGCGGTGAGCGGTCTAGTAGTAGCTTGACTGCAGACGGTACGGCCGACGTGGTGTCAGTGTCGCCATCACAAGCGGCGATGCCTGTCTGCGAGGAACTATCTCCGGTGCGGCGGCTGAACGAAACATTTGAACAGGTTGCGAGTGCAGAACTAACAGCGTCAGACGCTGCTGATGTTGATCTCCCGGAACCCGTCATCACCGCAGGCAGAAGGGTCGCTACGTGCGAATCTGTTGCTACGTGCAACGAAACTGTCATCGAATCCCGCTCTATTCCCATTAACAATGGTACTGTCACCAAATCTCACCCCATCCCCATTAACAATGGGACTGTCACCAAATCCAGACCTGCAGCAGTTAGTAACGGAACCGTCACCAAATCTAAACCTGCGGTCGCTGGCGGCGACGGCTCGATCGTCGTCACCGACCCCGTCGTGATGAACAGCGGCACGGTAACGAAGGAGAGACCGGCTGCAGCAGCAGACGTCGATCCAGCATCCGGCGGGAGAGAGGCGCGGCCGAAGGTGGTGCGCTCGATGACGTTTCAGGACGACGAGTCATCGTGCGCGTGGGGCAGCCCGGCAGGTCCGCGCACGTTTGCGGAGGTGGTGTCGTCGCCCCTGCAGCCGGTGTCGTCGCCCCTGCAGCCGGTGAGACGCGGCAGCGACCAGAACTTCAATAATCGCGTCGCGACGTCTTCTAGTCAAGTCCCAGACAATAGGTGCAGATCATGTGTATTATATTTTACGATAGATTTTACAATAGATTTTTAGATGTATGATATTATTTTGTACGATGGATATCGATCTATACCATCAATGGTCTTTTGACGGTGGTACTTTTGAGTAACGATAGTGTTTAGTAAGGGGTGGGAGGTCATGAGAAGGTTGGCAAGAACTGTACGAGTGTCAATTCTGAAATCGTAGCCGATCAACGGTATAATGAAAAGATGTATTTGATAGACTTCATATTTACTAAACCGTGTAGTATATGGTAGATTTTATGTTAATTTCCCTTTATTATTATGTTCTTGTCCGCATCATTACATCTTTTTGATGAACTCTTTTAGTGCGGATCGTCGTGTGACCTTCGCTTCCCTGCCTGCTAGTAATCAACCCGGTGCATGGAGGTCTGGTGGAGCTAGCAAGTCTCTCAAGATGACACACTCATCAAGCCACCTTACAGGATTCAACAGGTTTGAACATATTTACTACTGAGTTTATTTTCTGTTCGTAGAGCATTGAAAAGATATGAAGACCATGTCGTAGTTTCTGTATATTTGATGAAACTTTTCCTGAAATCATGACATCGTTTTCTTGTTTTACTAACGTGCAAATCTTTTTCTACTTGCAGCTTGATTATTGTGATATAAAATAACTATTATTTATACTTATTACTATAATTGAATTAATTTCATGTTTTATGTCGCTTTATTTTTCGCCAGGGCTTCGTCGTTGATACCCAGTAAGATACCCGCTACCAAGCATCTGAGGACAGCCACTGGTCCACAGCACTTCACAAGGAGTCCACTGAGCGAACACAATCACAGACAGCCGTCGTCTGCGAAGAAGGCCTCCGTGCATGGTATGAGCATTTATCATTCACAACGGTACTGAAACACTAACATTAATTAACAGCTCTTTAACTCTGTATGTGTAGGTTTAAAATATATTTAAATGTATTTACTATTTCAGATCGCAACTGAAGCAGTATATACTACGATATCATATATGGTTGTTAGACTAGAGTGTTTGCAGAAAAGCGTGACATAAGGGACACATAGTTGCCCTAATAATGACCTATTATCATTTATCTTTACGTATTAGCAATGCAAGTTTTTAATATCTGTGTATATATGAGGTTAGTTTCTGTTTCAGATAATGACAAGCCGGGGTACATGTCTAGGACAACATCATTCAGTTTTAAAGTGAGGTAAGTAATTAAATTATGTAATTGTGTCATTGCATTCGTTGAGACTGTCGTCTTGTCTTGTAGTGTATCTAATATGATGGATGTACATGCCAATCTGTCATCATTGGCAATATGCCATCTAGTTCCTGTAACGTATGAATATAGTATCACAATATATGGCTTTCATGCAATGTTTTGTCTGTTTAAGGAATGGCCAGTCCAGTAAGGAAAACAATCCATTCACGCCACTGGGCATGAGTAAGGCTATCAGCTCATCGAATTTGGCACTCAATGAGAAGTTAAAACGTAAAGGACTGTGAGTATTACATATAGCAGTTACCATTTTAGTTCAATAATCTGCTATTTGATAGCTGCTAGAGCTACTGCTGTGAATGCCATCAAGTTTGTAGGTTCTGACTAGCTTCACAAGAATAATATGCACAGCAATTTCGTTGGTATTCGTTTATAGATGAAGGTGTTTAATGATAGTGGGTTACAGGGTTCTCCCTACGTTGCGCAAACGGGGCGCGCGCGCCCCGTTTGGGAAAACTCCCCCCTGTTTCAATCGTTGCGCCCACGTTTAAAATACCTCCGCCCGATTAAATTCCACCACAATAAAAGTTTGCCAGCGAGGAATCGATCGTCAAGAATTTCCATTCGACCAGGACACCCGGTACGTGTATTTTTACCGTGCCACGCATGCACAAGTACAAACAGTCAACCTGTCCCACACCCAACACTAACTGTACAACGACTCGGCTATCTTATATATACAAGAACCCCAAATACCGTCTATGTGTAGTGACGATTTTACGCATTAATTAGTGGTATGGTAAAAAAACACGCGCCCCGGACCCAACCCCCCCCCCCTCCCCCTTCCCTCCCCTCCCCCCTGTTTGAATTTCATCCTGGGGAGAACCCTGGGTTACCTTTTATATAGAGATTTCTTCTACAATTAATAAATACATTATATACTACTACTATATAATATTCCCATGTTACTTGATATTTATCAAACTTATACACCAATGTATAGATGAAAATAAGATGAATAAGCCTCTAGTTATCAATGCGTTTTTATCTATAGTTGACATATTTATGTGTGCAGGTCCAGGAGTAAGTCGATCAGCTCTCTACGTCATGCAGTGAAGTCGACATTCGCACGCTAACGGCAAATAATGCGGCAATGTGTCGTCACGCAAAGTCCAAGTGTAGTATAGATGGTTCTACGCATTCACTTAATAGCAATAACAGTGTGCATGTGTCTGTAAATGTGTGGAGTGACATGCAGAAGAAAAGGCATCCCACTCAGAAAGCCTAACTGGATTGTGTGAAAATATTTAGCCAATGTAAAGTGATCATAGTAGTGATTGAGAGTATGTTCGTATGTTGTGTGTTTCCTGACTGTAAGCTTGATAGTAATGATGCCTGGTTCCATAGATCAGATGAGAATAATTATCGATGTATTTGTATCACGTTTTTTATAGCATAAAATTAGCATTAATTGCAATTGTGACATTGCTGCGTTCAGTTTAAATTACTGTTAATTAACTTTGTGGGAATAGTATATGATTCCGTAATAATTAAATTGCTGGAAATCAATCGCTGTGTAACTGCAGGGTAATTACCAGTTCACATTCGATACCTAAGTGATATTATGAACATGAACGGAAGCATCCTCGTGGTATATGTATGAGAACACATGTTCATAATAAAATGTGTAGCTGAATTACTACATTAACTTTGTTTATTTTACATCTAAATGGTTTATTTATTTTTTCTTCATATCAAGCTCCAGCGGATCACACACGTTCTTCTTTATTCTCTTATTTTCTGCCTATGTCGTCTTATGTAACGTAACGAACGAACGAACGAAAGTATCTTAATGAACGGTTAATCTGAAACAAATTAAAAGAGCACATTTACCATTTACCGTGTGTGCTATGCTGTTTGTGTAGCTCGCTATGGACAACAAACTTTCTGGTAAATACCATTCAAATACACGTACGGCAATCACAGCCGAATCTGCTACTATTAATTTAGAAAGACATTAATAATTATTTACAAACACAAATCCCTTACCACGCTGGGTTCTGTAGGGTTTTAGAAGCACATTAAAATTCGCAAATACATAAACACTTACACGTATACGTCGCTGCAACGTAAATATAGCGCAAACGGCAAAAACAGGCACGGATGCACACATTCCTTCTAATATAATTTACAGTTACTTCTCTCGCCTTTCCGCTCACCCTCTTTCTCTCTCACTCTCTCTCTTTCTGTCTGTCTGTCTCTCTCTCTCGCAGTATTTCTCTGCACGCACGCACACATATACATACACACACTGTACCTCTCTCGGGCGCTATGTATATATATTATATATATATATATACACATATGTATATATATATATATATATATATATATATATATATATATATATACACATATGTATATATATGTCATATATATACTCGCCTCTCTCCGTTTCTTCTTCCTCACTTCTTTACTCCCCTCTCGCGGATGGTATCGCCATGGTGTATGATGTCTGGTTCCATAGATCAGATGAGAATAATCATCGATGTATTTGTATCACGTTTTTTATAGCATAAAATTAGCATTAATTGCAATTGTGACATTGCTGCGTTCAGTTTAAATTACCGTTAATTAACTTTGTGTGAATAGTATATGATTCCGTAATAATTACATTGCTGGAAATCAATCGCTGTGTAACTGCAGGGTAATTACCAGTTCACATTCGATACCTAAGTGATATTATGAACCGAAGCATCCTCATGGCATATGTATGAAAACATATATGTTCATGATAATATGTATAATGTACCAATATGGCCGCAAAGTGAAGCAGAAACGAAGTACATTCTCACCAACGTTTTAGTTGCTATAAGATGCCAAAAATTGGTCCCATTGTTTCTTTAGCAGAAATCACTGGTTTTCTGTGTATCAATGTAGAGTCATTCGCGTGTAAAATATGTTTACACTTTAATTACTCTAATTACACAATTACTCATAAATCTGTACTTGAGTGTTTATCAATGCTATCTTATTTCACTAAATTACTATTTTCTCATAATTAAACTGCTTTAAAAACAGATTAAAACATTAGCATAGTCGTAAACTCAGATGACATCAAGCCATAAAACGCGTTTATAATATCAAGAACACGAAGTTTCGCATGTTTTACTCTGACAATCAATAATACAGATTGATCCAGTGTTAGCACCATAAGCTAATACTAATATAGTAATCAGCATGCACATAATATTAAACTATACTGCTCACACGGAATATGACATATATACTGGCATGATTAATATTCAAGCTGCCACACACTGGACTGACTCTAATTCATTCTTTCAGAGTTTTTGGAGAGAACAGCTGCTAAAGTAATTCTGCACAAACCCCATCACGATCTATATGATATATATACCACATCCAGTTTAATTTTGTATGACAAATAAAACTGTAGTTTTACAATACGCGGAGACAATGCTCTATCATGATAATGATAACAATCATAATGTAGGAATATATATATATATATGTTTAGAGAAAACTTTATATCATCACACAACGTTAATTTGCTAATAAATTATATTTAACAAACAAAAATCCAACTGCACTGAAGACTACTGCAAATCTATACACGTGCCTTTTCCCTTCTAATTCCCTTGGCAGCTGTGACAAGACTTGAAGTATTATTTTAATAAGTATCTATGACAACGACAAAAACATCAACATGTGTTCCATACATTGTACTGACGGCTATTTAGCTATAGCTTCACACATTAATGCTACGAGTGCTTCAACTAACTTACTCCTATCGAACGCACATTGCTACGTTACCATAGCAGGCATCCTCAGGTGTAAGTGTGATTCATGATGCCCTTATATCAGTGTATTAACTTAACTCATGCACAAACACGTTCCCACATAAGTTTTATACTAAACCTAGCATAGTTACACAGCACAAACTCACACCGTAAAACGAGACATTTTAAACGCAGCGCCGTTACGTCTACATACTTTTTTGATCACTGACAATAGTTGATCTCGTTTTTCTCCAACTACCCTCCTAACATTGAATTGCACACGCAGACATAGACACAGTTACTCACAGTAAAGGCACGCTGGTTTTGAGAGGACACCGGTCATTGACAGCACCCATGCAGTTAAACACCACACGTGACACGTGTAGCACATACACATTAAGGGCAAATACTCAGTATATGCTCATTGCATTTCCAGATAACAGTTAAACTATGATCACACATCAGAGAACGAACGTACTATCTATGGGACATCTTCATCTCTCGTCAGTACAATTATATAAATTTTAAAACTTTGATAAAATACAGACAACACAATATAGTTCTATTTGTAGGTGTACACTCGACATTGGCAAACATTGCTGCCAATAACAATAACTTAACACGTAACATGCATCACGAGAATGATGATATGCATATGTGTATATCATGATTACCGAGATGCAAGAGAGGATGCATAATTCATTACATAAAGGTAGCATGACAAACATGCACCCACGAAATATATGTTATCAGGAGTGAGATAATAACAGATCGGTTATTATGTTACTCCGGAGGTTATCATGATAGATTTGCATAATCAATGTGTAGTGGAGTTTGATATAGAACCTCTTACTGCTATGCTATATCAGTACATTTATCTATATGCCCGCACTCCTTTTGTAATTAACCCCGGGAAATTTAACCATCTGAACTGCTTTCGGACGATTCACCTTCACTGTCGTCATCCTCAACGACTTTACTCGCCTCTTTTTTAACCTCATTTTTTGCACCAACAGCTACGGTTTTCACGAAAGTGGTTTTGGTTACGGTGGTTTTTTCTGTAGTCGCCTGAGATGTCTTTGTTTCTGCTGACTTCTCTGCATCTACTTCACTCTTCGGTTTCTGTTCCATTGTGACTGACAACGTTGTCTGGTACTTCTCGGGAGACCCTTCAGTTTTTGTCTTTGATGTTGGCGAGCCTTCTTTCTCCTCTACATCCTTGCTTTCTGACAAAAGTGATTTCTCTTTCGATGGAGATTTCTCTTTCGATGGAGATTTCTTTCCACTTGCTTTGTTGCTGGCATCTTTTGATGGAGAAGCTCTTTCTTTCTCTCTCTTTTCGATTATGAGCTCTCTTTCCAGCCGCCTCTCTTCAAGTTTTTTCTTGTCTTCTATCTCACCTTCACTATCAGAATCAGCCTGGATGTCATCATTGCCTTCTTGCTCGAGTTCTGCAATTTCTGCTCTCAGAAGTTCGATCTCTTGATCTTGCTCTGTGTATGATTTCACCTCTAAACTGAGAACCTGCATCTGTTGTTTGGCACCCTCTAGGAAGACATCCAGAGCCACCAGGTTGCGCTGACGTAGCAATGCATCCGCCTAAAAGTACATATTCGCAAAAATGCAAAATACAGCTCAAAAAAGTCAACTTTCCAAGAACAAGTTGCATTTACCGTGTATTTTTGCATCTACCTTGTAGTAATTCAATGCAATTTGTAACTACATTACGACTGTGCTTCGTTGATTATACTACTGACGCATACAGACAAGTGAACAGATGTTACCTTTCTTTGTTCCTTGATGTACACGTGGATATTTTTTCTGACAGAGCGGAGAGCGTCTTGGACTGCTTCTCTACCTCTTTTCCTTTCTTCCAGCACTGCCTTCTCTAAAGCTCTCTGCAGCCATTAAAAACACCAGGACATGCAATGTAATATTTCTAACTTCGGTTTCCCATAGCAAATCTCATTTCTAATACATGACCAACTGTTGCCACATGTGCTTTTAAATATACGAAAAAAGAGTTGTGTGGTTTATTTATCAATGTATTAATTAACTCAAGATTGCACTCTAATGTAAGGCGTGTGTGAATCTCACCCGACTTCTCTTGCGTTCGTCCAGCATTGCATCCTCTAGTGCTCTCTCCGACTTCCACCTCTCCTCTTCACAAATCTGCAACAACTTCTCCTGAAAACAGTAGACCACGGCGTTACATCACAGCAAGTTAATTACACACGGGAAGATGTAAAACTGAAACTCACTGCAACCTGTGGCATAAAAGCAGTCTGCTTCATCCTTCCCGTATGTTCCTGGCTGCTAGATCAAGCATACCCAATGTTTAATCTTAGAATTGCAATGTCGTAAGTGTTTAACATGCATACATTAGTATGCGTGAGCTTATTGTTTCACATTTTGTTCAACCTTGGATCAGTGACCGGCTGCTCTATCGGATGGCATAATCTCACGTGTAAATTTACCCTTTCACTCTCCACCATCTGGATGCTCCTGCTTCTCTCCTCCTGCGCCACTGTCTCCACGGCTCTCCTGCTGTTATCCCGCTCCTCCATAAGCGCCTTGCTGATTGCCTCCCAGCGCTTATCCTTCTCCTTGTCCATGTCGGCTGAAAATTTTTCCTGAACGACAATGAGAGGAGTTTATTGTTCGGAACGCGGAATAGCAACATGTAACTGGAACTGTGATCCCCCGCATTAAGTAAAAACGTATTATTTAATTAAAAAATAATTATAATATCATGATTAAAAGCAATTACACAATTGCTTAAATTCTTTCAATTTTCCTCGATTTAATTTCATCGGTAGAGCTAAAGAAATGTGTTATCTTAACATTAAAACGGTTATTGCAAATTGATTTATATTAGTAATGTGGGGCTTAGGACAGATGTCGATATTACTGCTAGTAACATTAGAACACGGAACCTGTTGCTCTTTCCTAGAAGACTCCAGAGCCTCTTTCAATCTCTCCTCATTCTTGTTGCGGTCCTCTTCTAGATCTACCTTCAAGTTGTTTTGCTGCAAAAGCATTCAGAATCAAACGTCAGTCTACATTTCTAGCTGTTACCCAAAATGGTATCACTACATAGTTATCATCTACACAGCACAAATAACAACTCACACATAAACCTTTTTACCAGAATTCAGACATTAGTGTTTGTAACTAGAGACCAAGTTGTACCCGACTTTAATAACCAATCAGATTTTGACTGGCACAAAATACGTTACACATCTTGAAATCGTTGGTGTGGCGGCATCTGACTTTATCAACCTATATGATCTCAGTAACCACTCCTAGCCATTCAGAGTTAACTTGTAGAAGACGACGAATGTTTGTTCTGGGACAGCGTGGCTGTCGTTCTAATTGATAAGTTCTGCACAGTCTCACCTGTGCGTCGATAGCTTGGTGCAAGAGAACTGCTTCCTCTGCTAGGATGTCCTTCGCTTTCTGCATCGTCGCTTCCTGCATCTGAGTTACTGATGTCTTGCACAGCTCCTGAACAATACAGACCTTCACGTCAGCTTGATGCGTGATTCAAATCACACACGATACTCACTGGTAGACTACTATTTACAGGCAGGCATGTGACACCTGACAAGTATCAAACAAATTGCAATTTGCATACGCGTCATAGTTCGCCAATGCACACGCACTGACAGACACTTCAGGCTTTTAACTTTCATGTATATCAACAGATACAAATATACACGACAGCAGCGATTTGTGCGCGATGATGAAGGGAGGGATTTGTGAGCAAAGTAGGGGGGAGGGGTTTGTGAGCGAAGTAGGGGGGGAGGGATGTATGAGCGAAGGAGGGGGAGGGGTCTCTCTTTCTCTCTCTGGCCACTTTCCTTTCCTTTCTCTGCACCCTCTTCTTCCATTCGTTTTCATTATCAAAAAATCATTATTTTTTATCATTATCTTTGTGCGGCTTGTGCCAGAAGAACCATTTCGACACAATGAAATTGCATAGGACCTTTTTCGATAAATTTCACCTTGTTTTTGCAAAAATTCAAGAGTAATATTTAACGTTTCCACGCGGCGACTCCAAATGCTTGTTCCAAATAGCGTGTGAATAATTGGTTGGTCATGCTATACCGACAGCTGCCCGGCTTCAAACGACAAACAAACATGGCCGGAGAATGTACGTACACCCACACTGCAGTGCAGCAGGGGCGTAGTACAGAGGGGCCTGGGGGGGGGAGGGGCGACGTGCCGCCCCAATCATTTTCTGTGAG